GATCTCACTTTCAAAAGCAGAGTTTTTGAAAGTGAAATTAGTCAAGATGCAGGTTTTTTCGGCAACCCCTCCTTTTTCTAAAAGCCACGTAAACCTCTTTTTGAGGAAAAGCGGCTTTTCGAAAAAGGGGGGTTGCCAAAACACTGCTCATTTTCCAAAAAATGAGATCAGAAGCAGATATGCAAAGGGGAGGGGGGGACTTTTCCAAAAATGAGATCAGAAGCAGATATGCAAATTCACGCCAAATTTGCATATCTTCTTTCGAAAACCGCAGGGCAGTCTAGACGTGCCCAAGCATTGGTAACATGTATTAACAGTGCAGGCAAGGGATGGGTGAGTTGTGCGTTTCATTCGTGGGTGGGTCTGAAAGAGCTGGCAGCTCAGTTGCCTGAATAGCAACTCATGAGAAGGCGAGGGCGGAGGGGCAACTCTGCAAATACATTTTGAGGACTTACCGCTGGCCATCCACACCTTCCTCCATGTAATCCTGAAGCTCTTTGCCATGTGTCTCTGGGAGCAGGAAGCAAAGAATTCCTCCAATCACTGGAGTGCTTCCAAATATCGCCTTGGAGATAGAAGGATGATACTTGTCCAAGAGACCAATCAGAGGGGAGATGATGCTACCCACTCTGGCTGACATTGAACATAAACCCAAACTGGTCTGCCTAGCAAGGGAGGAAAGCATGGAAGATGTGAACAGGATGCCATTAAAGAAAATCTTTGCTAATGGGGTTGTCCTCAGGGGTCTAGATCAGTGATGGGCAACCTAGGTTAGTGAGTGGCCCTCCTCCATCTCAGTGGGTTGCAAGATTGTGGTAGCCAAGATGGTCTCCCGGGATAGGGTAGCTTTGCTAACTGTACTTGTGTACCTAGAGTTTGTGGGCTGTGCGGATTGAACTATAGCAGTGTTGTGATGGGGTGCCATGGCAAGAGCACAATGTTACGTACAGTCCGAACACACCTTACTTCACATGCTTGCATGTCACTACAGTAATACCAGTAGGGAAAAAACTATGCTGATTGAAACCAGCAGGCTCTGGCAACCCTGCACGTGGGCAACAATAAACAAAATATCTTACAGATCTCTCACACACGACCTTGGGCCACAGGGTTGCCCACCACTGGTCTAGACCCTTGCTCTGTTCTGCAGCATGGGGGAATCCCAGATCAAGGCCTTACTGGTGCCCCGATTCCCAGGATGTTAAATGGTGCTGGAGGTCAATCCACAGCCTTTTGTCTTTCAACATGTGTGGAAAAAATCGCCCATCTTTGCACTACCCACAGCAGGGGCAGTATTGTAGGTGAGGCTCCAATGTTTGGAGAAAGCGACATACAATAGCCACAGGGCTCGATTCAATGGGCTCTTGATTGCTAACTATAATTGATCATTGACCTTTCAGCTGAAAAACAGTGGCCAAAGGAAGGTGTTTTTCCAAAAAAGTTAACGTGAACCACAATCCATCAGTGAGTGGCAAGGCAGGAAAAGCAATGAGTGGATTTGTTTTTGACGAAAATACCCAGCCCAGTCACCATGCTGCCTCTCCGGGAGTAAGGGATGTGGGTGGTCATGCAGTCTAGTATCTGATGCACTCAAAGCCATTCATACAGAGCATAACAAGGATCCCATTTCCCTCTTCCGGCACTGGTGACCCCCATCACCATGGTATCTTGGATTCAAATTAATCCCCTTGATTTCTAGATCAAAACCAGAGATTGACTGCTGCCTGTTCCAGGCTAGAAGGGGGATAAGATTGGGGATGCTAAGAGATTAGAGTCATCTGTAGGATGAAGGGTTATTGTTTCATCAGGGACTGATCTAGTACAGTGTTTCTCAACCAGTGGTACGAGTACCCTTAGGGGTACTCAAGAGAAGTCTGAGAGGTACGTGAGCACAACTGAAATTTGGAGAACTGAATTTTTGTCTTAAGTTTTACAGTGTTTTATTATTTTTGTACTTTTTACACCCAAAAATTTCATCCTCCGCCCGGTTATGATTAAGTTGTTTAAACAAATATATTGCAACAGTAGAAAAAAATTGTGTGTGTCTGAAAACTGTAGGTACTGGGGGTACTTATACATTTTTTTTTAAAAGGGGTACTTTATTAAAAAAAAGTTGAGAAACACTGATCTAGAGCATCTAGAACCAGATCAGATGGAACTCCTTGGAACTCTTTAGCAACTCTTTATTTCCTAACAGCCTCCATTACCAGTGAAACTAGTGGTTGAAATCCGTAGGCTATGTGCTTCTTGGAGTAAACCCATCATTGAAAGAAAAGGAAAAAAAAAGTTAAAAAAGAGAGTTTAAAAAGTTAAAAAAGAGTAAAAAAGAGAAAGGAGGGAAAAGGAGAGAGAAAGGTGATCTCACCTCAGAACAGTGGGGAACAGCTCTGCACAATACACATAGGAAGTAGAAAATGAGGCTGAGATGGCAAACCTCCCTACCACAGCCAGCATCGTGACCACCACTGGCAAATCTGGTGGCAAAAGGTAATGCGGTTACACAAATCTTATACATGGTGTGGGGGCAGAGTGAGCATAGTTAGGGCTGACCCATAAAGGAGGCAAACCTTTCCTACATGGACCGTGTATAGTGAGACCTGCACTAAGGACCCTCCCTCTCTCCAGCTGGGTTCACCAAAACCAGGTTCAAAGGATGGTTCTGCTCTGGGAAGTGACTGCAGAGATGGCGTCTCAGGATTTTGCATTTATCACACACCCCATTTTCTAGATTGAATGCATTCAGCATGGCAAGTGCCAAGATCTTTCCCCTAATAGCCTGCCCTACAAATTCACCCTGAATTCTCAACAGAAAACGGCGGGGTTTTCCCCTCTTTATCACTATACCCATCAACCAGAGATTCCACATATCAGATGATGCCCTGGGTTATATCTTCCAGCCCCTTACCTTCAGGTCATGTTCTTATTTACTCTTGTGTAACCCATGCCATCTTCACGTGCTTCCTCAGTCCTGCACACCCCCATTGACTTCAGACTGTACCTTGACCCAGCAATTAGAACTTTTGCAAATGTGTGAATGATTTATTCGCCCAATTAGAATCCAGCTCCCATAGCTGCCCTGGATCTGCAGTGTTACCAGAAGTAACAAGTCATTTTTGGCACTGAAGTCAACAGATACAAGTTGACACACACAGGGAGTCAACCCATGGGGTAAGAAGGCATCAGTTGTACTCTGTCACTTGTACCACATTTTACAGATCTCTCAAGGTTTCCGGTGCAACTTCAGCCAACTGCCAAGTAAAGACCAACCTTTCTTAAGTGATCAGTAGCAGCCCCTCCCTTGGATGATAGTGTGAGATACATTGCACTGTGTTATACCCTAGGAGCCAGATGCAGAGGTGCAGTGAATCATCCAGGAGAAGTCACTAGAGTTCTAGCAGCCACTGACTTATCTGGATTTACACCAGCACTGAATTTTGCTCACGATGCTTCAGAGAGAAATTTGCAAAAGGTACAAATAAGTATTATGCCCTCAATTGCAATCAACTTTCAGTGGGAGCTGGGTGCAGACCTGCCCATTGTACCTTTGAAAAATTGTTCCTATTGTGTTCTTCTTTATTATTGTATGATCATTTATTGTTTGTATTATAGTAGCCCCTAGGAACCCTAATTATGGACCAGGACCCCACTGTGCTAAGTGCTGTCCAAAACACAAAACAAAGCGACACCACTGCCCCACAGAGCATACCATTTAAATATGGGACAAGAGAAAACAATCAGTGGAACACAAGGAAACAATGAGACAATACTATGTAAACAGAATGTACAACCAGAGTGATCAAAGCGACAATGGCAAAAGACACATTAGTAGCACAATGTGAGTGGGGGAGGGTTGCTCAGGAGGGGGATCAGCTACATGAAAATTAAAGGGAATGGAAGAGGAAATGGGGAAGTGCAGGGGTGGAGAGGCTTACACCCATAAGAACAGCCATATGGGTCAAACCAATGGTCCATCTAGCCCAGTATCCTTCTTCCAACAGTGGCCAATGACAGGTGCTCCAGAGGCAGTGAACAAAACAGGCGATTGAGTGATTCATCCTATTGTCCACTCCCAGCTTCTGGCAAACAAGGGCAGATGTGGAGTACAGGTGAGGAGAGGAGACTGTGAAGAAGTAGCATGAGGCACTTGTATTTTTAATCTATCTATCCAGATGCCAGCAGCCTACTGTCACTACTCAAGTCTCCGGCTCTGCAACAAGCCCCAAGCTTTGGCAAAGGGTGGAGCAAGGATGAATCACACCAGCCTGTTTCAGTCCTTTCAAAAAGCACTAGAGGAGAAAGATGGCATTTCTAAGAAATTTTGTTCGTGTGTTTCTTTGCATCTTGTATAGTGCTAAGTACACTGCTGGCACCTCCAAAACAACAGCAGGGGAAGGCAATGAGAACATGGGCAAAAGGAGAGAAAAGAAGAGGAAAACCCTTTAAAACTCCTCCTCGGCCTACAAGAGGAGAGCATCTCCTTGAAGGCCTCACCATGTTGTTCAATGGAACTTGCCTGCAAGGCTGGGGGAATGTTAAAGCACCAGGAACGTGAAGAGAAAAGAAAGTAACACTAAGAAAATCCAGAAATTTGTCTGGAATGGAGCCCTGTTGGTGCCACCTCTGGAAAAAAGGTGGCTTGGGCATTGAAATCCAGTGTTCAGAGCCAATAGGGAGCACCCCAGTCAGCTGAGATAGAAGGAAAGAAAAATGGAGTACAAAGGAATGCGTTGGGGACGTGGCTGCCTCATGCACCAGGGAGGTTGGCCTGCGTGCAGAGGACTTGCTGTGTACCTTGTGGGATGCTGGTGATGAGGAGCATCATGACTCCACCCAGGAGCAGAAAGCTGCACTGGCATTTCTTCCTCCCAAACCACTGTAGCAGGAAGGAGCAGCACAAGCAAGAAAGTATCCCAACAGCTCCAAACACAAACTGCATCCAGTAAATGTCCAAGCCGAAATTCCCCACATTGAGGCTCATGCCGTAGTACACCAGGCTGTTCACAAACCTGAAAGCAGAGCAGAGCAGAATGTCTCTCTCCATGAGTGTAGTTAGCTTCAGATGTTCCCTGTTTCCATGGAGACAAGAAACAGTCACTACTTGTGCTAAAGTAAATCCTCCAGTGTAGAGGATGCCACATTTCTTGTACGCTCTTTGGGCAGCTGTTTGGTATTCCTGTGAAGTGTTATATGCTGGGTAAGAGAAATAAAAAGCAAAGGAAAGGTGTGCTCTACGCCACACGTAGCGATTCCACACTTCTTTATGCAATCGTTTGGTTTTCCGTTTGGCTCTCTCTGGGTATGTCTACACTACAAAGTTAGTTCGAACTAACGGACGTTAGTTAGAACTAACTTTCATAGGCGCTACACTAGCGCTCCGTTAGTTGGAATTTAATTCGAACTAACGGAGCGCTTAGTTCGAACTAGGTAATCCTCATTCCACGAGGATTAAGCCTAGTTCGAACTTACTAGTTCGAATTAAGGGCTGTGTAGCCCCTTAATTCGAACTAGTGGGAGGCTAGCCCTCCCCAGGTTTCCCTTGTGGCCACTCTGGCCAACACCAGGGAAACTCGTCTGCCCCCCTCCCGGCCCCGGACCCCTTAAAGGGGCACGGGCTGGCTACGGTGCCCGTGCCAGGTGCAAGCCTGCCAGCACCCA